TGCCTCCCTTTTATAAAGAGCCTCATAATTACACTGAGCCCACCTGGATAAGCCAAGACAATTACCCCAGCTCAAGATGCTCAACTTCCTCATATCTGCAAAGGCCCTTTTACCACAAAGGTCACATATTCACAGGTTCTGAGGATTAGGATGTGAACATCTTTTGGGGGGCCATTATTCAGCTTACCCCAACATGGCCAGTGTGACCTTTTTGCTTTCCTCAAACACATAAGGTGTGCCCCGCCTCAGGACCTTTGCACTTGCTATATGCCTCTGCCAGAGACCCAGTTTCCTTCCTCCTTCCTTCAGGTCTTTGCCCAAGGGTCACCTTCTCTGTGAAGTAGCCACTGGCCACTTAAAAGTGCACCCCCAACATCACCTCTGCTGTCTTATTTTTATCCACAGCACTTATCACCATCTGAAACCCTCTAGTTAATTATGTGTTTATTGCACATAATGTAAGATCTGAGAGGCAGGGGATTTATGCTTTGTTCACTGCTGTACTCCCTGTCTAGAAAGGGACATAGCACATAGTAGGCCCTCTGTAAATAACTGAATGAGACAAAAGAATATGTCCAGTTTCTTAAAAATTCAACACTTCACAAAACTAGATTGCTTTTACTTTCAAAGGTCAGCTTCTGGCACGTGTTGCCCTCAAGAGGCTCCAACTTCTCAGTAAATACCCTCTTGCTCTCTGGTTTTTTTCTTTTAAACTTTTTAATTATGGAAAATTTCAAACACAAAAGTAAAGTGAACGGTATAAGGAACTCCCAAGTCCTCATCACTCGGCAGAAACGATTATCACCAGTTTGCCCTTCTCGTTTCATCTATCGCCTCATCTTTTCTTTAGTTCTGCTTTGCTTTTCCCTATCCCTGTGTAAAGGAGGCAGCCGCCACAACCTGATGAATTAAAAGGAAACCCCCGAGGGCGTTTGGGTCTCGGGAACGCACGTATCTCCCTGAGAGAAGTCTGGTGGCAAAGGAGAAAGAGAACCAAAGGAACCCGGCAGCGACCACAGGTCTTCAGAATCACATCTGCCGGGAAAATCAATTGGGCCATGCTGAGCTACGGATTCCCGACTTCTGAAGAGCTCATGAAGATCTTTAGCTATAAAACCCCAGATTCTAGTTTCTCCTATTTGGACATCTGGGAAGATCCTAAGATCACATTTTCCTTGAAACTTGAAATATGATAATCTAACCTTTTACTTCCAGAATTACATAGTTTGGTAACACCTTTCTCGCTCACCAATTTTATAAGAAATCTCAAGTTTTAACCTCTGCATCTTCCTTCTTTTCCTTTATTGCTTTCTTTATGCACATTTTTCTATCTTTTACTCAAAAAACATAACACTGTTGTCTATGCAGCTAAATTTCTAAAGCTACACATTAGGAAATACACATAACTAAAATATACAAAAATAAAACAAGACAAAATTAGAGAGATGAAGAACAGATTGGTGGCTGCCAGGGGTTAGGGACGGGGAGGGAGGTAGAGGTGGGTGCGGGTAGCACAGAGACCCTTGTGATGAATGTGCCGCATCTTGATTGTGTGGTCACACAAATCTACCCCTGTAATAAAACTGCACAGAACTAAACACACGCGCACAGAAAGGTGCGTGTAAACTAGAGACACCTGAATAAGCTCTGCGGCCCGCACAGTGCCAATGTCCCAGTCTGGTGTTGCTCTACAGTTACAAAGACATTTCCAACAGAGGAAACTGGGGAGGATACACAGGACCTCTCTGTACTATTTTTTACAACTGCCTCTGAATTTATAATTATTTTTAAAGTTTTAAAAGCAACTGTTGATAAATACTTAAAAACCTTTACTCCTCAGAATTATTCATGTTGTGATTCATATAACACAAGACTTACCCTCCCCTTAAAAACCAATTCTTTACTTTTGAAAATCAGCAATTTTGTAATTGTTATCCATTTAAAAATATTATCCTTTAAAGTGCCAGAAATCCTGTGCACCCACACACAAAAATGAACATAAAACTATAAAAAGCAAAATGATAAAGCCGTTCAATGAACTGCCCAACACATAACTTTGCTTACTGAAAGTCACCCTGTTTGAGACATTTCAGCATGAAACACTCCCACAACTAGCAAGAAGCTAGAGAGGTCACATCAAAAGTACACAAGGATCTGGGGCCAGACCGGTGGCGGAGTGGTTAAGTTCCTGTGCTCCGCTTCAGGGGTCCAAGGTTTGCAGGTTCGGATCCCACGTGCAGACCTATGCACCACTCTCAAGCTGTGCTGTGGCGGCATCTCATATATAAAACAGAGGAAGATGGGCAAAGACATTAGCTCAGGGACAATCTTCCTCAAGCAAAAAGAGGAAGATTGGCAGCAGATGTTAGCTCAGGGCCGATCTTCCTCACAAAAACAACCTCACACACACTGATGTAAGGATCACACACTAATGGAGCGGGACTTTGGCTCTGACAGCATAAACCCTCACAAAGCAGGCAAAGAGCAAGGATGCAGAAAGGAGACCAAGTCAGAGCAAAAGCAGTTCTCCAGTGTAGTCTGCAGCATAATTAAAGCACAAAAGTCCTCCCCAATCAGGGTTCTTTACTGTTAGTTACCAACTTGGCATAAAGATCTAAGCAAACAGGTTTTCTCCAAGGGCACACATGTAACTCATGGTGCCAATTCCACATAACTGGCCCAAGTTCACTAAAATCCCAAGGCGGCTGGATTAAAAGAGAAAAGAGACAGACAGACAGAGCAAGCCCTTCTAAAGCGAAATCATAAAGTAGCAGGACATTCCATTCAACAGCACTCTGTTCCTCTGTTTAAAAATAAAAACACCACAAGAAGCAAATGAAAATGCTCCTTATTTTTATTACCTCGTATTTTTATTTTAATGCTTGAAAAAAACAAAGCCAATTCTATCTACACACTCCTGGCCATCCATTGTCATCTTCATGCAAAAACTCTGAAAAAATCCTGGCTTCAGGATCAGAGCTACCTTAGGGGTTCTGTTTAAGAATATTTTCTATTCTTATACATGCACTCTAAAAATTAGGTTGAACAAAAAACAAACAAAAAAACACCCTAAATCCAACAGGCCAAAGAGGGAAGAATTCTAGTGGACAATTGGACTACTGTGTTGCAAATTAAAGTGTTCACACCTGCAGAATAATCTCACCAGCATAACCAATCTACCCTGAAATGCAGCCCCGCTGTACCAAAAGGGGATCTCTTCTTCCACTAGATCCTATCTTTCACTGATAAACTCTTTGGATGAGAAAACCAGCAGCAGATGTGAAAGCCACATGGCCCTCTACAAAGCAGGAGAGCAAAAAGCAACGTTAAAAGAAATGGTTCCTTAAACAGCAGCTCCCTATCAAGAAGGAAGATTTTATCAGCTAATGCTGACTTCGTGGAAAGCAGCTAGCTATTAGACCCTGCTCCAAGACTTCGGCTAACAGCATCAGGCTGAAATCCAGGAGTTCGACTCATTTAGCTACACCCTTGTTTTCAACTCTTGGGCACAGGGCCAATGTGTAAAGTTAGACCATAACCAATCCAATTTCCAAGGGAAAGAAGACAACGTACGTACTCTTTCTTGACGCAATCGAAAGGCTCTGAGCAGAGTTTACACTTCAACACATTTTTCTTTAGTGAATTTCAGCCTTTGAATGATTTCTTCCGTCATTTCCTAAAGATTTCCAGACTCTGCATCAAAAAATATTTGCCAACACCCCCAAATTAAGTAACATTGTGGCAATCAAGAATACTGGAAACATTTTAAATTCACATTTAAGTAGAAAAATAATTTTGATTAAGCAAAATGCTTCATAAGGAAACAGCGTAAAACCAGAAACCATAACCCGTCCTGTACTTTGTGTGATCCCGTTGAACCGCCACAGAGGTACGAGCTCTAGAGCCTACATCTGGCTGCAGTTTTCACCACTCAAACTACCTTAATCCTTTTGACTTCACATTCTCGAAGGTGCTTTCGACTTCTACACACAGTTCTCCTACCACTTCATTTTACCACCGTTCTCTCGAAGGCACAGGCACTTGTGTAAAATGCATTATTGAATCCAGGCATGGGAAACGGTCACCACTATACAAATTAATTCTTTGGCAGTTATAGACAATGGATACTCCAGTGTCTTCTGGGAACAGTTGTCCATGAAAAGCCAAATGGTCAGCAATCATATACACATTGAACTTACCAAAAATTACACACTCTTTGCCAAATAGAAGAGAACAGGGGACCAATTTGAATGGCATAAACCCTTGCCTCTCATAGAGTGGCCAAAGCCACACTGGCATCATCTGGTTAGAAATGCAGAGTATCGGGCCCACCCCAGGCCTCCTGAGTCTGAACTTGCATTTTATCGAGGTCTCCTGTGATTCATGTACACAGTCAAGTCTGGCCCAGATGCCATCTCCCACCATCCACTCTGTGGGCATAGCCCCCAAAGTCCGCCTGAGATGGGGGACACTGATCTGCAATTCCCTCGGTGGGAGCCACTCTCCTCCGCCTCACACCTCGCACCTCACTGAGAGGGAGTCGGGTGTTTAAAGGGTAATTTGGATTATAGGCCTAAAACATGACTTCACTGTTTTGTCCTCAGGCTGACCCTCAGCTCCCAACCTAATGACTGGCTTGATTTAACCAAGGGCTCACATCTTTGCATTAAAAAGGGTAAGGACATTAACAGCTCAGGATAGCTCAATAAAGGCCCAGCACAGCGTTGTCAGCCTTGAGCACACTGCCACAGGTCAGCCATAACTCAGACTGCAAGGAGAACAGAGCTCTGGAGCAGATGGTCACAAAAAGATAAACACCGCGTGGTGAGGGGGAACACAGTCCTTTAAGTTCAAGGTTGCATTCCCTCAAGTAAAGTTGCTACACAATTCATAAGTTCTTGAAAATCTGTAATCCTAAGTAAATTTCTGTTACCCAGGAGCTTCCTATACTTTAATTACACATGTAGGTAAGTCTTGAACGCCAGTTAATGACAGCTTACCTGTGCACACCTTCCTAGGTCTTTCCTGTCCAGATACTGAAATATATTGATTGCCAATTCGTAAGGCAGTTGGATATCGAAGAAGGGCACATCATCCATTTCATTCTGAGGAGAAAAAAGGAAATAAGCTTACGATTCTGAAATATGAAAATGCTCTTATTTACAGGCCTTTTAAATTACCAGAGATATCCTTAGGTGATGACAAGAGGGATGACGCTTTTTCCCAGGAGGAGCAAAGCATTCTCACTTTTTGCGGAGCACAGTCAGAACTCAGAACTTGACAGCCACTCTCAATTCTCCAACCCCACATCCTCTACCCTCCTCACATCCACTTATAAAATAAACAAGACCACTTCTCATAAGGCATGAAAAAGGAGAAGCAAGGGTGTCATGTGACAACCTGGGGTACGCCCACAGGATTCAGTGCAAAGGCTTGTGGGAAGTCTCTTGGCTTCTAAGGAAAGCTGAGCAGCAGGTAGCCAAGAAAGTAAGCCTTGAAATCAGGGAGGCCACTGGTCCCCCCAGGACAACTGCTCCTACCCCCCAACCTGGTGGGAAGTGAGTACCCACAGCCAGAGAAATGCTGACCGAGGTCACTAAAGTGTTTTCATCAGAAAAAGGAGAATAGGGCTGTGACCATGAGCAAAAAGTAAACAAATAAAATGCTGCTCGTGAGTGAGGTGAAGACATCTCCCCTTGGCCGCTGGAGTAGCACAGGTTTCCTAATGCACTCAGGGCTTACATCGGTTAACCTGAGCGAGCCAATGCAGACAAAGCAGCTCTTCTTCGGTGTCATTTATTAACGCAGAGAAATCAGAGCTTGCCTGCCTTTGGAGAAGCAATTAGGGATGAGGTAACAGGCTTTACTTGAGAGATAAGGCTGTCATGACGATCCGGGTAGCACAAAGAAATACGAGTGTGAAACAGAAAAAAAGCCAAGCGTGCATATGGACCCCTCTGCCTGTTCCCAAATCCACCTGCCAGGTTCACTTTGGTGTGTGCTTCTGCAAAGCTGGGGAAGGCGGCGCTCTTTGTCCCAACAGAACTTGCTTAAAAAATTCATTTATAAGCTTTGGCTGACATCAGTGACTTAGTGGTTGCAAGCAAATTATTAATTCACCACTCAAATACAACAGTCATATACTGCAAGGCTGCAGTCTCAAAATCGAAAATAGCATCAGAATTTTTAAGGGAGTGTGAGCACTGACTGAAACCCTACCAAGATTCAGGGTAAAGATTTTTCTGGAATCATGTTTCCATTCATCTAGGAGTCTCAGGGCTAAAAGATAATCCAGGGCATAAGAAGGAAATGTATTCAACTGCAAAAAGAGTGCAAGGCTAAAGTAAGAGGGCCAAAAAGGATCTCTAGAGGAACAAAAGAGTAAGAGTTGACAGCTCTCCGCGGGCAAAGAGGGAACAGAATGTTAAATCAAAAGCGAAATGTTGGCTATACAGAAAAAAGACAGGAAAAAATCTGCAAGTGTAATTGGAAAACAAATGGGTCCTCGCCTAAAAAAACAATGGAAAGTCACTAGGCTAATCCCAGGTTAGGCCCCCTCCTAGAACTAACTGGCTTCACTCATCAAGAAAAAGAGGCATCGGTTTCTCTCTCGGCCCAGATACAACTCGAGACTTCTCAACACAAGCCAGTAGGGAGTCGCCCGCCGTGGAGGAAAGCCACACACAACACAGACTATCCTTTGCAACCCCGGACTTCTGTTTTCTCTTTTGGATTATTTGACTGGTGAGGTGGAGAAGCTACTTTACCTACAAGGTAAAGGAACAAGAGAGAAATGCTCCTTATCCTCACGTGAGCAGAATAAAGGCAGAGCAAAGCCTGCACGCACACATGGTGGACTCTCACTGAGCTTCACCGTTAGAGGCGGGCCAGGCACTGCTGTCTTCAATCGGTCCCTTCAGGACTCTCTACACCCTGGTGCCTGGACTTGACACTAGAGTGATGAGGCAAGAGAAATCAGCTTTGCTTTTAGTTATTCTGGTGTGGAAAAGTCACACTCCCAGCGGCAGGAGCCTTCGCCCCTTTGCCTACTCAGCTGGCCAATCCTCCACCCTCATCCTCAAGAACAGTGCCTCTACCTCAGCATCTCCCGACCTGCCACCAGCCTCCTTGATCCCAACGCCATGGTCTCTGGGATGCAGCACAGCATCCAGGTTCAGAGCAAAGCTTAAACTGAAGCCCCTGGTTCTGCCACTTGACTAGCCACGAGACCAGGCTACATGCACCTGAGCCCCGGCTTCCTCATCTGTAAAACAGATACAACTAGCCTATAAATAGGTAGGTTATTAAAAATAACATGAAATAATACACGGAAAGGGGGAGGTATGCAAGAATCAATTGTTAATACTGCTATTTTCTTTCCTTGAGTGGCACTCCAGCTCCTTTTTCCTTCAATAAATACTTGGTGACGAGGTCCACATTCCATGTTACTCCTATACCAGCTTGTTGTTTACACAGAAGGTCATCTCCCCGTTTCATACCACACACAGATGATACTCGATGACAGCGAAAAAGGATGGTCCAGCAAAGGCTAAGCATTCAGGAGTCTGAACACTGACAGTTTCCACACAACAGGTCTTTTCCCAGAGGACTTGTAAAACAGAATCGTCAATTTTAAGTTATACCACAGTAATAACTAAAGAAGGATTTGCTCTAATGCACAGTGGATGAAAAGGAGCAGCCACCAGGGTGCAAATGACCTGTCAAGGGTGTAGCGGCCCCCATACCAACAACAATCAGGTCTCACTATTGATCCATCAGTTGTGATGGTTCTTAGTCATTTATAAGTTCTGGAGGGCAACAACTGTTTCAAAGCACTGAATTATAACTATGTAAACACCAACATTACAAAGCCAAACATTTTTCAAAATCACTGTTCTCTCAGAATTACATCTAGGGGCCAGCCCGGTGGTACAGCAGTTAAGTTTACACATTCTGCTTCAGCGGCTCAGGGTTCGCCATTCAGATCCCAGATGCGGACCTACACACTGCCTGTCAAGCCACGCTGTAGCCGGCGTCCCACATATAAAGTAGAGGAAGGGGGCACGGATGTTAGCTCAGGGCCAATCTTCCTCAGTACAAAGAGGAGGATTGGCGGCAGATGTTAGCTCAGGGCTAATCTTCCTCAAAAAACAAACAAAAAAAAAACAATTACATCTAAACTCCAAAATGATGATCAATCCCAAACAGATCAAGTCCTAGACTTCCACGTGAACAATCCTCTCTGTTGCACAACCAACATACTAAAGGAAGGCCCACATCTTAAGGAATATATAGACCCCACAGGTGAGGAGACCAAATGCTGAAGTTTCGTGTGCACACTTGGAATCTTTTTGGCAAGACATTCAGTCACTGGCTCCTGCAGTGGATGCTGCAGTGGGTCACTCAGATTCGCCCTCCGGGTCCACCACACTCATTCCTCCAGATGCCCAGAATGCTGCCTGGCGTTGGCTCACAGCTGAGTCCCTTCCTAGGCACTGCCCTTGACCAAACGAGCTGCCTCATCCAAGGTTACATCCCCTCCTGGAGGACGGTGTCCATTCAACAACTAGTCAACAGCTGAGTGTAAGGGCCTGGCTTCCTTGCCTCAATTCGGGACCTCTCGGAAAGGCTAACCCGCTAAACCACCTGCATGCAAATCTCCATCTCAGAGTCCGCTTCACGGAAAATTCAATTTTTCCAAAGCAACAGACACGATCCATGATAGCCCCATTTTCAACACATTCCCAAGGGTTCTTATATACAACCCCAGAGGCATCAGTCTAGGTAACCTACTCCCGTTCTTCTACTCAAGGAGGCAAAATGGAGTGCAGGAAGTTAGAGTGATGTTATTATACCCAAGACAGACAGACAAACACTGGAGCAGCTTCAACATTAAGTAAATCATTCATAAACTTCACTTTGTTATTATTAGTAAGCCATCACTTGTGACATATCACCTTATAAAAGATTGAAGAGTTATGAGCACGTTTGACCCTGTGGGTAAAAACGCAATTCTTTCCTAGGTGTGCATGATTCAACAAGGATAACATGGAGCCACACCTTAGATAGAAGCTATATACCCTAATAGCACCAGAATGTCTTAAACACTCTCACTTAATACTTCCCACAGTTCATAAATATAAGTAAAAAATACTGCTAGCCACTAGTGTGCAGAAAAATACCTTGTAACGTAAAAGGTATGATCAGACTTCCACCTAGGCTCTTTTGAAGCACAGAGCCATCCAAAAAGTTACAGGCCCCATTAACCAACTCTCTATCTGTACTGACTTAAACACATGGACGTGGACAAGTCAGCATTTCAGAAACAAAGGGATTCTGAAGGAAGGAAGAAAGAGATTAAAGACACTGGAAATATTAATACAGGGAAATGCGGTCACACTATAAAAATGTCAATACGACTACAATGTTTAGAGAGAATAATTTTGCATCAATTTAATAGCCAAGGCAATGTGAGAATGGCCAAATTTATGCTACAGAAGACCATACAGAAGACCAATAAATTCAAAATATTAACATTCCTTTAAATTGATGGAAAAACATCTTTTTGATAACATACAACCTGGCTTTTAATTCTTCAATGGCTCAGATATTGATTCTCTACCCCTGTTGATGACTCTCGTCCTGTGTTACACATCAAAATCATCTGTGTAGTTTTTTTTTTTTAACCCAAACATCCAGGGTCTCACTCAGACCTGTCACCCCAAATTTCTGGGGGGCAGGGCTCAAGCGCCTCTCCCTCAGGGATCCTCACGCACACTAAAAGTTGAGAGCCACAACCGTAAATTACACAGATACAAAAATCAATCCTTTCTCAATCAAGCCAAAAAAAACCCAACCACAAAGGAGTCATGTTACTTTGTTAATTCAAAGTCAGTGAATACTAGATTTTCCCAAAGTCTACTGGACTTCCTCCAAAAATGCTAAGAGAAATTGCAAACAGATCCACCCCAGGGAGGCTGATTGGTACTCCTATGTGCTAATGTAAGACTAATTCTGTAAATGGACTGGTTTTGTGCCTAACTGTTAGAAATTTAATCTTTCTTCTCTTGTTTAGTAGAAGAAGGGGTAATTACTAAGAGCCAAA